AGTTGCTCTTGTAATGGCATTGTGAACCATGGAACACATAATTTTTCTGAGGCAGCAAAGTTTATTTTCTCTAAATTATTTATCCCAAACCAAATAATTGAGAACACAATACATATTATATAATGTTATTTTCATCTCATATGTTCTGATCTGATATATGTTTTGCTTGGACTTGGAAATTAATTGAAGACACAGCAAAGTGTTTGAGGGGTTTGAGTCACTCAATAATTGGACAGCCAAAATGCCAACTCGGGCTCGACTCTCTTTACCCCTGAATTCATGGGCTGTCTTACCATTCTCTTTATTTTTTATTTTCTTTTTTAGGGCTTTTACTTCCTTGTTAAATTATTTAAAATTTTGAAGTCTAATTAAGCATTCGAAACATTGAAATTACATTGGGTTAAAAATCATAATTATTATTTTTATTCTAAATAATAGAATTAAACAAAAAAATATTTCAAAATCTTTATTGTACATGAAAGTACTTTATTTGAAAAATGAGATATTTAATAGTTATTTTCTTCTGCAGATAACTACATGTATTTTAAAATATTAAAATTAATTGAGCACGATGTGCGAATTTATATATTATTTTATTGCAAATAATTTAATTTTTTTTGTTTCATTCTAAATTGGAGATAAAAGTTGTTATTCTATTTTATCTTATTATCTTATATGAACTTCCAAGATTTTTCTATGAATATTTATGTTTCTATTTATAAAAATTTTATATTTCTCTATATTTCATGGTTATATAGTAAAGTTAAAATAATTTTATTATATACATACAATTTTTTTAAATTATTAAAATATATTTTTTAAAATAAAATAAATTTATATTATTAATTCTACTAACTAGTATTATTATACAAATGAGTGTTCTTTTTATGGTTTAACAATTATATGCTAGGCGTTGCAAACTATTACTTTTGTAATTTATAAAAACAGGCAAAGCCTACATTAGTGAATCCAAATAACTAACTTATTAAATTTAAATTAAAAATTTTAATAAAAAAATATTAATGTCTTGGAGCATTGTAATGTAATATATTAAATTGCTACGATAAAGGTTAGCCAACATTAAAATTTTTATAATTAATCGCTATGTAAGGCTTTCCTTATATTAAAAGGAATTGAAAATTTGATGGCTGAGTATTTTTTTGGTGGTCAAAAACAGCCGTGAATGCAAATTGTAATAATAATAGAAATTGTAGTGAATTTTTTTATGTCAGTAATTCTTACATATTACATAAGAAAAAAATAGTATTAGAATGAGATTAATGTGTCACTGTCAAAGGCATTATAATCTACAAAGATAATAGAAGAAAGTCGTGAAAAGATAATAAAGCAATAAGATACCTTTATCCATTTCATCAAATCCAAACACATCAATAACATAGTGTTTTCTAAAGACACTAAATTATAAAACTATACTCAAGAATACATAGAATAAATTGGAAATTTGTAAATTTGATACTACATATGGCATGATTCAATATGTCACTTTTCAAAATGATCTACAAGAGGGAATATAAAGAAATTTATATTTCTCAAGTAGGTTTGGAATTTAATTAATAAATCTTAAATAATATAAGCATCGTTACCATAAAAAATAATAATAAAAGCTCTATGTGCCTCCATCACATAGCGATATTATATTTACTAAAAATCTAAATTTTTTTATTTCTATACTAAAGAAAAGGAAATATTTACTTTAGGATATGAAGCCTTTTTTTCACATTCTTCAAGTGCTTGCCTTCCCTACCAGCTTTGAGGGGTGGAAAAATTATTAGATAACAGTAAAAAAAAAAATGGTATAAAAAATAAAATATACACAAATAACTTATCAATTTAGTGGAGGTGTGCAAAATACTACTTTGGACTTAATAGTATCTTGCTACTACAAGTAAATTACCCACTAAAAATAGCTATTTCTGTCCAGAATACAATAATCATTTTTTGCTAGCACTCAATAGAAAGAGCATGGTAAAAAAATAGCACTCCAGGTGCTCAAAAGAACTGAATTAAATTAATAAAAAAAATTGGAGTAGATTTTTTTTTTACGTTTTTCTTCTATAAAATCCATCAACTTACCAACTTTTTGGACCTCACTTTTGAGGTGTAATAATAATTTCTCACATATTATTTATTTAGAAATAAAATAATTTTCAAGAATGTTGGTGAATTTGACACACCAGAATGTTGGTGAGATTAAAATCTCTATGAACCACTTTCACCACTCTAAACTTGTTTAATGTGCTGTGATTTTTTTAATTTGGCTTTTACACTTTTTTTTAGATTTCTTGAATATTCTAGAGAATTTGTCTAAACTCTCGTAGAGGTGATTCTCATTATACAAAATTGCTTTTATATGAATCATCTTAAAAATAGAAAAGATAAACAAAAAAAAAAAAAGAAATTTGACTCTAACTATGACGTGTAAGTAGAATCAAAGTTATCAAAGTAGTTTGTTCTTAATTGTGATATGTCAATAGAACCAATATTGTAAGATTTAGTTTTTAACTCAAGATAAAAGAGAAGCTCTCGCAAGGGAGAAAACTCAGATTTCTATTCAAATTTCACTTTTTTATAAATAAAAAAAATGCATTACAAAGAGTCTTATTTATATACTAAGTCATCCTCAAAAACTACATAGTTTTTAAATGCTTTCTACTAAAAACTACATGCGCTCTGCTAAGAATAAAGTAGATTTTAATGCACTCTATTAAAAACTAAGTGTTTCATTAAAAATTTACTGTTGAAGTTAATGTCTTTGAAAACTTAAATGACAAAAGTCTCACTTGAAAATATAAAAGTCAATTGAAAAATTCACCTAAAAATTACAAAAATTGAGCTTTATATCAACTAATCAAACCCAAACTATAACTCAAAAACTAATTAAACTCTGGCCCTTTGATTATGGAAAATATGGCTCTCTCTTTAAGTTGGGCTTAAAGTGTCACTACGAAGTTGTAAGAATGTGACCCATTTAAGTGCAACTTCTAACCCACTTGAATTTTTTTTTTCTTTAATCTCAATGATTAGTTCTTGCAAAACTTGTTTCATCCTCTTAGTCTTGATTTTAGTCATTGGACCTTCAATTCCATGTAAAAGGTATTTTTACGTACTAATTAGATCTTTGTTACCTCACCTTAACACTCATACAGGTGAATCAATAAAAAACACCACTCAATTTATATATATATATATATATATATATATATATATATATATATATATATTCACTCTCTGACATTATAGTAACACACTACAAGAATGGACTATTGGAAATATTAGATAGTGTTTCAGTCCATTGACATGGCACTAACATATGCATTTGTCTCATCCCCTTATATATCATTTACCATCAAATGTGAATGAAATATGATCTCATATCATTTAGTAGCTGCTCCACAAAAACATGACACATACATAAACTTTGTTATTTTCTTTAGTTATTATTTCTTAACAATAATATATTAAATTACATTTCTTTTATTATTTAGATGATTTTCAAGGATTAAATATTCACTATAGATAAAATTAAATTTATTTATAAACTTATTCTCGTCCTTTTATTTTCTCAATATAAGCATAAATATATAACATGTTATTTAGATTATCATAAATTCACTACTTATAAAAATTGTTTTCTTAAATTTTGACCAACGACATGATTTACAACATAGCCACTAAACATTTAAGTACATGTATTAGTGTTATTAATTTTTTTAAGTAATAAGACTTTAGTCAAATACTCCCACACAAGATTTTTCTAAAATTTTAAATTAAATTCTATTTATAGTTTTAGCTTCTACGCATATTAATTATTTTTATCATTACATAAAAGAAAAATATGTAAAATTTTAATTTCTCATTTTCTTAATAATAAGAGAAATTATCATGTCATAATTTACTATGCCATAAATAAATAAATAAAACCAAAATTAAGTAAGATAACATGCATTTTCATTCATAATTTCAAAAATATTCATCTTAAAGAAACCATTAATATAATACCTTTTACCCATAAAAAACCTTATTTTTAGAGAGTATAACTTTGTCATATTCAAAAACAATCTTGACACTAGCTACCCAATACAGATAATGACATTAAGTTGTAGCAGGATATAAGTACATAAAATACATCGTTTAATGAGAAGACTTTTTTAGAGATAGAGTTTTAAAGTCACCCTTCTTTTACCAACAAGGTGCCAAGTCACTTAAACACTTTTTTATTTGCACACAAATATGTTTGATAGTTTTGCAGTCTACCATCCAAAACTTCTTTTCTGCCATAAGATTGGCCTTAAAAATAGCTGTCACAATTGCATCATTTATCTCAACAACATTAGCTTTAAAAGTGATAAGTTGATTATTTCCCTTGCCCACGTTTTCCATAAACATAATAGTTACTTGTCCTTTTGATAATGAGATTTTGTAGGTGTAGGTAGTGTCTTGTTGTAATCCTTATTTATTAAAGAATAGTGAGGCTTTCAATTTCCATAATGATTAGGTTGAACTTTGGATTTGTCGTTTGATTCTCCACAAGATTTGCCTTAACAAATAGCCTTTTTGCCTTTTCTTCCTTGTCATGTTGCAAGTTTCTCTCCAATTCGGATATAAGAATGAGTAGAGACATGTCCTTCCTTCATATACAATAGTTACTTCTTGCTAGCACTACATTGTAAATAGCAAGGGTACAGAAATAACTTTTCAAAGTGCTAAAGAAAACTAAATTAAATTAATAAAAAAAAAATCAATTGTTATAACTATTTATACTGTGTAACTCCTTATAAAACTATACTTTGTGAAGTTGAATTTAAATTCAATATTTATAAGTTAAATTCTTGTTCTCATTTTATATTGTTTTTGAACTTGCTAATTTTTCATCCATCAGTCATGATTAAAAAACAATGACTTTATTAAAGAAAAATAATATACATACACAGCTTAAAAACACAAATCATCTTATTAGGCCGTCATTGGTTGCACAAACCGCTGCCTTCGAATCCCTGCGTGGTTCAAACTCGTTGCAAGTTACAACACTTCAACAAATCCTCGGTCAAAACTTTCACTATGTTGTCTATATTTGTATTGAAATTTTGGTCCATCTACAATATATATAGGACAATAATAAGCAAGTGCGAGAAACAAACTAACTACTCATCATAATTATTCTTATATAATGTTTTGGAAAAAGTTTATTTTATTCCCCCGTAATTATATTTATGTGAAATTTAAATAATTAATTTATTAAATTAAGCAATGATGCTTAATATTTATCAATTTGTTTTAAAAAAATGCTTCCATTACTGAGACATTAATTTGACCATTATCTCTGTATATTTTTCAGGTCGATAAGGGGTCGTATTACAGAATTTAAAATACCAAAATGTTTAATTACACATAACTAAAAGGTATAGAGGGTAAAATACATTTTTTTTTTCTTTTAGAATGAAATATTTGTATTAAACAAATTATACACATGAAAAACACATAGAAAGTTAAGGATCAAATTAGATATCTCAATCTTACGGATAGAAAGGTTCCTTCGTAGATGATGTATATGGCGTAAAGTGTACTTTTTAAAAATATTTTTATTAGAAATTATAACATTTAATAATTTTGATATATTGAATTTATAATTAAAAAATACTACAGATAAATTTTTATGAGATAATCTTATATGCATATTAACAAAACCATATATTATAATAACATGGGTGTGTACCTGAGCGATGCTGGTAATGTTCAAAGTAGAATTCCCAAACGGCAAAACAGTGGTACAAACTATGGAGAGACTATAGGTTTCAAGCATGGCCAGTAGCTTAGGTACAATGTCCTTTCGTTTCTCACACATAACTCTGATGAGTACATCTTTTGCTGATACTCTTGTTTCAACTTTGGGACATATCTTAATTGGTCTATCTAAGCCATCAGGGGCAGCACTAACATTGGATTTTTTCATTTTGAAGCATATTACGGATTCAGTTTTCTTCTTGTTTTCTTCTTCCAAGTCTTTCACACGCTTTTCAAGATACTTTACATAATCGATAGTGTAGTTGAGGATAGAAGCCTTGTCAATCTGCACATTAGAAATATTTCATGTTATACATATATAAGATAAGAATGAAATAGTGCTAATATCATGCTTAATTTTGAAATAATGAATTCCAGACCAAGTTCATCATAAAAATTATTTACATACTGAACAAGTAATTAATTGGTTAGTCTATATTAACATTTTTTTTATATATTCAAACTAACTAATGAACCCCTCTTTAGAAAGAGATATAAGTTGGGAAGGAGGATAATATTAATATAAATTTTGTCTAATAGAAATTAAATTTTTAAGATAAATATTATGAATTTCTATTAACATTAATTAAGTTATCTTACTAACAATATGATGCACTTATTATAATACTATTATAAAAATAATGTATATAAAATTTTACATAATTTTAGAATTGTGTGTGTTTCTTTAAGTTGGGCTTTTAAGACAAAAAATAATAATAACGTAACCACAAAAATGAGTCAAAATTCAGCAATGATATTAGTTTGAAAAGAAAAGGGTATATACAACCTTTTTCAACCCTGGAATAATGGCTGAAAGTGCGATGAACATTCTGGTGAGATTCTCTCTCCTCTTTCTCTCAGCCAATATATGATGTTGAGTCTGAGACAAGCTTCTACACCTCTTGAGTTTTCTGTTGTCATGTTTTTCCTGGCTCTCCTGTTTATGATGATGGCATGTTTTCTTGGGAAAGTTTGGCACAATAGTGGAGTCCTCAAAAGAGAGAACATAGGACTCTGAGGAAGATAAGAGAGGTTTCTCCAAAGAAGCATGTTGTTTGAGACTTGTAGTGTTATCAAAGCCAATGTTCTCTTCCAAAGATGAAGAATTGCCCATGTTGTTGCTGTGATGGGAGATGCTTTCTCTAGTGAAATTTGAATCAAAAGATTGACTTTTCCAATATAATGAATTTTCTCCCTTGAACTCTTCCAGGAGAGAGTCTATGTCATGCCACTCACCCTTTTCCTACAAAAATTGAGAGCACCAAAAGGAGAGTTAGGATTTCAAAAGGACAAAAGTGATGCATAGATTTATTACATATAAATTATAATTTTTGATTGTTGACCAAAAAACATATATAATGCTTGATTTAAATATCATCATTACCAAATAAGATAGCAAATTTTCCCATGGCTCATCCATTATTGATACCAAAAAGTCACAAACATAGTATTCTAGTTTGATTTTAAATTGCTTCAGCTATTGAAGTGCTCCTCCATTCCCTGCTATTGTAGTAATTGACAGTGTTTTTGCCAACAACAACAGCATTGGCTTCTTTGATTGGGGTAAGGAAGTGCAAACGGTGAGAAGTGATAGAGGAAGAGGGTATTGATCTTCTTGTCTGAACGAGGGAGAAAGCGTAGAGGGAAATGGTAATGAGTTGGATTTGTTGTAAAAATTTTCGGAAAATAATGAATGGTATTTAAAGATAAATGTTAATCATATGCTCTTTAACATATTATTATTAATATATTCATAATATTAATTAAAATTTATTAAATTTATAAAAAATATGAATAAAAATATTAAATTATAAATAAGATTCATATTTTTTATAATTTTTAATAAATTTTAATTAATAATTAAAAGCACATTACAGAATATATTTTTTAATATTTTTAATATTTAAAAATAAGATGCATAAAATCGTTAAAACAAAGAGGGAAAAAAAGTGAGATAGAACATATAATACGATGCAAAAATGAAAATAACAAAAAAAGAGAAAAAAAAATCTAAAATGTAAGTGTTAGTTATTTTTTTATTTTTAATGTAAAATAAAAGTTTATATAACATAAAATTTAGTTAAGTTTTTATTTAAAATATTACAATAAAAATTTTAATTGTTTTAAGTTGATTTATTATTATAATAAAGTATTTTATATAATTTATTTATCACATTTATTACCTTTTTTATGTAACTAACAAGTAAATTGTTCTATTATTTTAATAATTTAAATAGCATTAGTTTTATCTTATTTTGATTTTTTTTTACAATTTTTCAAACGCAAAATGAAAAAGTGAAATCAGAATTTTTTTTTTCTCATAACTAAACAGTTTAATTAGTGTATTTTATATTTTTATTTAAATAAAAAAAATTATATTTAAATAAAAATATAAAATTTTATTTAATTTGACCGTACATATCGCATCAAAACTCAAAAGAAATAAAAAAAAAATTAACTTACTTTTAATTAAAAGAACACGACATAACATCTGGCTGACGCTACGTACACGTCGCACGTTTATCCATAAGTGATGTATTATTGCATCACATGATAATAATACTGACCGAATTTTTTTACATATTATAACTATTCGTTATAACAGTTAACTTTATTCAAATAGAATATTGAGTTTAATTTTAATATAATATCAATCTAAAAAACTATTATTAATTAAGTAGATTATGTTATAAATATAATGTTTATATAAATTATTATAAAGATTAATAATTGTATTTAAAATAATGATTTATTATTGAATGATAATATAAAATAAATTATAATATTACATTATTACGGTACTATCAGCTTATTTAAATTAAATTTAAAATTTATTGTCATCATAGCAAAAAAAAAAAGTTTAATTTTAATGTAATATCATGTAAAAAAATTTATATTATCAAATAATTAAAATAAATCTTAAATATATTCTTTATATTAATTATTATAAAATTAATAATTACCAATGAAATGATATTATTCGATAATCATGTAAAAAAACTTTTATACTGTTAATATATTTAAATTAAATTTAATATATATATATATATATAGGCTTTAATTTTAAATTATTATTTGTTGATAACTTTAATTAAACTTATAAATGTATGTTGATGATAAAGTATATTATACAAAAAAAAATAACAAATTAATCCTCTTTTTTTTCAGTTTGATCTTTTATTTTTTTATTTTAATTTCTTTATTTGTAAAAACATTTTAGATAAATTGATTTTTGTCAAATTATTTTCTTTTAACTTTAACAAAGTATTTTTTTAGCATATTTTTGTATTGTCTATTTTTTTTTCATCCAGTTAAATTTGAATTTGACTTGAATTGTACAAATAAAGACTCAAATTTAAAACGTGGATGAGTCTAATTTTTATTCTTTTTTATTCATTAACTTATTTTTTAAATTTATAATTATTTAACTTATTAAAATTAGAAATTTTAAAAATATTATTAAAAGTTATAAGATATTTATTTTAATTTAGTATTAATTATTACTAAAAATAATCTTAATTATTTTTTATATTCATAATTTTAAATATTTTTTAAAATCTTTAATCTTAAATGTTTTTTAAATTAATAATATTAAATATTTTTAAAATTATAATCTTAAATATTTTTAAAATTTATAATCTTAATTTTTAAATTCATGATTTTAATATATTTTTAAATTTATTATTTTAAATATTTTTAAAATCATGAAAATAAAGAAAAAATTGTTATTCAATTATCAATATATCAAATAAAATAATATAATTAGACTCAGAATTACAACAGTTAAAATTGATAAATCTGAGTACTTTTTTAATCAATAAAAAAAATTATTACATTTTAAAATGTTTTACGTATACAATTTAACGAATCAATAAGAAATAATAAGATTAATAAATTTACTTAAGACTCAGTCTAATAATAATAACTATAAAATTATATTAATTAATAATTATAAAATTATAATAAATAACATCAATAATTATTATTATTTATAATATAAATTAAATAACATAATTTAATATTTTAATATCAAATTAATTTAAAATTAAATTAAAATTATAATGAAAATTAATTTATATTAATTCATATATAATATATTTTAAAAAAATATTAATCTCATCGTAAAAGTAGAAACAGCAATATTGACAGGAAAATAGAAATATTTGTTCAACACATATAACGTATCCTTACAGAAACATGTAACAATATGAAATATGCAATACTAATTTAAAAATAATAAAAAATATAAAAGAAATAAATTTTAAAAATATATTATTTAAATAAGAAAGGTAGTTTCATGATTGAAATTTCACTTTCAGTTTCCATGTACGGGAAAAAGTAGAACCTGATTAATTTGAACATATGCCGTAACATCATCCAATCACTTCGAAAACAACTCCAGACAAAAAGTTGCGTCGAAAATGAACACATCTTGAGCGCCATTGATGGCAGAACTGTATTCTCTTTCCTCTTCACCCAAAACTTTTGGCTGTTGGCCAAAAGACAAAACAAGTTTAATTTTATTTTTGGATGAATCTCCCACAAGATGCGATTCATGAGTTGTACAGTATTTATTCCAATCTTCTATAAATTGTGATTCATGAGTTTCTACAGTATTTAAACATAAAAATAATTTTGTGATGTAAAAGTAAATTTTAAGAAGATTATTGTTTTAATAAGTAAAATTAATTTTAAGTTATTTTATAATTAAATTTTTAAAACAATTTGACTTTAACTTGAAATAAAATTCATTTTTTAAATTTACTTTTAGAAATATAATTTATTAACATAATTTTCAAAGTATAACTTTTTAAAATTATCTATGACTAAGCCCTTATTTTAGTCTTTAAAAGAATTCGAGTCCAGCATTTTAGTCCTTGAGACATTTGAAATATCACGTTAGTTTTCAACTTCTTTCTCTGTTATACATTTTAATCCTGACGTCAAACTCGTTAAGAAACCGTCACAAAAGTCTAAGTTGTCACGTTTTGGAAGTTGGCGTGGCAAAATATAATTGCAAAACAGTGTCGTTGTCATTAAAATCCCTTTTGCCCAAATTTAATCACATATTTTCTCATTATTGTCTAAAAATCCTACCCTAAGTCCACATAGAATCTCGCCCAAATTCTTGTTCATAGTTGTGTTTTGGGTGAAATATTTAAAGATTGAAGTTTATTGTATTGGAAGAAGGGTCAACAGATGGATAATTCGATAAAAAAAATTCTTAATTTATTAAGTCATTTTTTTGGTTTGGGGACAAAGAACCCCAATTGTTCATTGTTTTGGGGACGACGAACCCTTAGTGTTCAATGTTTTAGAGACAACGAACCTTAGCTGTTTTCTTTTGCTTTAATTAGTGTGAATGTGGTTATTGAAAAATGCTTTTTGTTTGTTATCGAGAAAACAACAAGGGATGGTAAGAAGTGATTGTTGGTAGGCAGTGGTCCCCTTATGTTTCTTACAACGACTTTTTAGTTTTTAAAATTAAAGAAGATAATGTTAATGAAAGTGGTCTCTTTCGACATGGTTTAACCCATTTTTTCATGTGCGTGCATTAATTTCATTGTTTATTCAGTAAATTAGTTAAAAATTACAAAAGATTGCTGACTTTTTTTATAATTATTTCTTTGTAAATGCAGACAATTAAGTTTTATATTTATCATAGACGAAAATTATAGAAAGAAAATGAAATTAAGAAGGAGTACAGGTGAGATAAAATTGAGGTTTAGACTGATGTTGATGAAGATATGATAGATATTTTTAGCTTCATAAACTTTGACAAGACAATGAGGTATTTCAGTAACATAAAAAAATATATTCTGGTCTAACCTTGATAAAAAGTTTGGTGAAGGTTTGAAATTATTAAAATATAATGTTGTTGTGTTGGAAATGGTGGTTGTTGGTAAGAGGAATAAAAGAGAGATGCATGTCTATTATGAGCATGAGATTGGTAAACCACAATTGCTTGAAGACAGTGAAATTCTAATGTTGGAAGGCCCTAAAGTTGATATTGCAACAATAGAAGAAGAAATTCAAGTTGAACAAGCAACAATGGAAGAAGACATTCAAGTTGAACAACCAGCAAAAGAATAAGGTTTTGAAGTTGAACAACAAGTAATGGAAAAAGGTATTGAAGTTGAACAACTAGCAACAGAAGAAGTACAAGTTGAAGATGTAACAGCTGGAGATTTATAAGTTGAAGATATAACAGCAGTCCACAAAGTACAAGTTGAAGTTGATAGCGAACAGCAGAAGAAAAATGCAAAGGAAAGGGAAAAGAAAAAGGCGACTTTAGTAAATTAGCTGAGGAAATAAGAAGAAGAAGAAGTTTGTGAATAGGAGCCATGAAAGAAAACTTTCAATTTGTTACATAAAAAAAAAATAGAAAAAAAAAAGCATGGGAACAGAAAAAGGAAAAGA